GCTTTAGGATAGTATAGATTGCTGGAAATTTGTTTAGAGTGGGTTTTAATGCCCTGTTATAATTTTTATGTGTAGGAGACTTCGAAGTGAGCAATTTTTACTAGTCGTGACGATTTTTAGATCGTATTCAAGGTACGTTCGCGTACTTAGCATATTTTGATGATGTAGAATCATGCTAGGTTTAATTTCAATCAATTACAAGTAGTATCATGCTAAGGTTTATGTGTTGAATCGTGAATTATTGGTGTTGGTGATTGAATTGTGAAGCATGAATTACTTGTGACGGTTTATGGATTGGAAAATTATTCTTTGGCATGATTATATGGACTACATATTTATTTATGGCATGATAGAGAGCATGTTTAATTAAACTAATTGTTTAATTATGTTTGGAATATTGAAAGGAAATTTTATTATGGTTCATATAATTTTTATTGACGCTTTAAGAATGAGAAAGGATCTATATAAGTGTCTATGTACACAAGGAATAAATTGTATGTTGGTGCCTTTGTGCACTTAAGGTGTTTTAACACCGAGGTATAGGATTGTTGGCGCTTTATGCGTTTAAGGTGTCTTCGACACTGAGGTAGAATTAAAAAGGGTTCAATATTAAATATTATGTGGTCACTAATTATTCAAGAATTAAATTGGTATATTTGTTTGATTGAATAATTATTATATTGTTGATTGATTTATTATGCCTTGAGAGTCATGACCAAGCATAATAATATGTAAATAACGTAAAGTGAAAGAGATTACGCACCAAAACTCTTGGAACGTATATACCTTGAGTATGAACATATAGGGGGAGTTATGTGACTTTATATTTGATCATAACTTCTAACGGAGTACAGGACGCTGTTATTCCTTTTTTTTATGCGCTGGAATTCCGCCACCTATGTGTGGCACAGGCTTATTGTTGGCACGGTTAGCTCCCGTGTCAGTTAACCCCAATTTATTGGGATAGGATTAGTTGGAAACCCGTTCGATGCGTAATCAATGCTAAATGAATTATTTAGTGTCTAGTTAAAGTGTCTTGTTGATTTTTGTGTGTGCTTGTAAACAGGTGCAATGAGGTAAGTGTGTGTGATGATAGGAGAATGCATGTTAGTGTGTTTAATTACGCTTATGTACTCAGCTTTGCTGATTGTGTGTGTTGTTTGTGTCTGGCCATGTCTTTATCTTGGCCCTACGATGACCCATTTTAATGGAGAGTAGTGGGGGCAAGTAGAGATACACTTTTCAGGTATTGAAGCATGTTCATGACGGGGCATGAGTGAAGAGAGAATCATGCTAGCTTCTATTAGAATATGATGTGTTTTATGCATTGAATATTTTATTATATTACTTTATGGACTAACACAAAAGATTGGTTGTTTCGGTTTTAATAAGGGCCTTAAATGGTTCCAAGTTGTAGTGGATCTTAATTGGCTTTGGTTTTGTTGATTTTCAACTTTAATTTTCGTTGGGTTGGTTTTTAAATTGTGTTATTTAAATAGTTTTGGTTTTCAAGTCTTCCGTTGTGTATCTTTGATAGTTGTCTTAGCCGTTTTCACGGTGGCGGTAATGTCTTAGATATTCCTAAAACGTATTTTAAAAGGAGTAAAGTGTGCATTTAAAGGAAAGGAATTTCTAGGGTGTTACACAACCCCTTCCAAAGAGGTGCTTTTCCTTGAAAGCCCTAAAGCCGCTCTTGAGTAGGGCGATGTTACCCGGCAGCATTCTAGTCCGTTTGGGGTTGGGTAGGTCGGCGACCTTAGGCGGCTGCTGATAGTCAGCCGCAAAATTGTCTTGGTCAGAGCCGAAAGATTCGGCCCTTGACCCTTCGCCGGCCTCAGCATCGCCGGCTTCATTAGAGGAGGTGGTTCCCTCACCGCCTACCTCTCGTACCCCAGAGCTCCCGGAAGTAGAGGGAGCCTCTTTGTCAGACCCGCTCTCCTCCAAATCCCTCTGTTCCCCGTTTGGGAAAAACCTCATCGGCTGGCACTTCCATAGCGCGCCGGCTCCTAGACCGTCTGGTCGTTTGTTTCGTTCTGGCCATTGTGTCCTGCACAAACACAGAGAGGGAGGAATTCGGAGATGAGCATATCGGTTCCGACAGTCCAGAAAAGGCACCCCCTGTTCTAGACTCAGCCGTTCCGGGGGACCGGCTGAGTGTCCTAGGCAGTGCCGAGTGAGTGGATTGAGAACTCATTTATATTTTTTTTCTAAAAAACTAGGTATACAGGCGGAGAAAAAATGGTATACAAGTTGAAAGGGAGAAAAGCTAAAATGGTACAGGCGGTTACCTTGCTTTTACTCTGAAAAATCTGAAAACCGCTACAGCCGGTAAACCGGGTGTTGAACTGCTAGCACACGGAAGCTTGAACTTGTTGTAATGCAGACGGAGGCAGAGAATCTCTCTCTAAAAAGCTCTCTCTTTCTCTCTCTAAAAAGTCAAATGAGCGTAAGGTGAGAGAAAAAGGGGGGGTAACTTTCTATTTATAGAAGGTGAAAGCGGGGGGAAAAAAAACTTTGGTTTGAAATTCAAATTTTTACCCGTTACTGTTCACCTTTGAGAGGTGGACACGTGTCACAGGCCCCACGTGATATGCACGTGCGACCTGTGAGGGGCAAATGTTTAGGGTAAAAATACCCTAGACATGTGGACCAATGAGAGGAGGCCACGTGTCGAGCTCAGGATGGCCCGTGTGGCTTAATATCCTCTTGACACTTGGCGCCCTCAGATACATCTCTGAAATGACGGCCTTCAAGGGCCCAAATCCCTAGAAGCGCCGTTTTAACGGCGCAGCCCACTGAAATTTAGGTCAAGTGACCTAAATAGGGGCACGTTCTCCAAGGACCCTATAAATAGAGAGATATTTCCCCATTTTGGGACACATTCAATAATTTATTACACCTACATTCTCTAACATCAGAGAAATACCTGAGCTTGGAATCCAGGCAGATTTCCTCCTAAATTTCCGTACTCTTTATTCCTTTTCAAGCTACTAACTTGATCGTCGGAGGCGGAGCTCCAACCACCCGGAGTCTCCGTTGTTTTGCAGGTACAACTCAGCCGGATCAGACTTCGTGACGTAACTCTCCCGAGGGACAAAAATACCCAAAACAAGCCCCTTTTGGACTTAGAGAGTGGAGTTGAAGAGCAAAAGCTAATGCATCCCACTAAGTGTTTTATTTTTTATTTTTAATTAATATTACTTCATTCTTCTTCAGACCTCTTCTTCCTTTCTCAACAATAACGACAAATTCTTCGCCAACACCTCATACAATGCCTCGGCACCACCATTTTCGGTGGAGGAGTTGCTGAATTAAACGGAAAATTTTTAAAAATATGGAGAAATAAGGGCATGGTTAATCCCAAAGGTAGGGTTGTTTAGAGTTGCGGTTGTGTTTTCTAAAGTTCCCAAACTGCACTTTTGCGGTTTGGTGAGGTTTCCAAAACATTTTAGACCAAACCGCACCGAAAACCACACTTTGATGCGGTTTGCAATTTAGGCCGTCAAACCGCAAACCGTCATACTAATTTTTTACTACTTCTATAAAAAAAAGTAAAAATAGTTTAATAATTAATTATATATTAATAATAAAAAAATTAAAATAACAAGTCTTTTTTTTAAAAAAAATATTTATAATTTTTATAAAAAAACGTGGCTAAACAACAAATCACACCGCACCAAACCGCATTTGTGGTGCAGTTTGAAAAAGTAGTGTGGTGTGGTTTGAAAAAGTGCAAACCGTAATTTTGCGGTTTGGGATCTAAACCACACCAAACCGCACCGCGAACTCTCCTACCTAGAGGGTTAGGGTGTTCCTCCTCAATTGAAGCTCTATCGTGAAGCTATTGATTTCTACATTTAAGGTCTTTTGAATTCGAGCGATGGAGGATAGAGAACTGATGGGGGAGAAAGAATGGAAGGAGACCTGCAAATTACAATTTTACCCCCTAACTTATAGCTTAAAAAGACAAATATTACCCTTAGATAAACATCTTGATAAACTCGTATTTTCCCTATGATCAACCTACCCAACTCAACCCAAGACAAATCTTTATACTTTTACAGTTTTATTATAAAAAAATTCAAGTTCTCAACTTGAAATTTATTTCGCAAATGACAAAGTCGTAATTAAATGTAATTTTTTTCACCATTCATCGATATAACTACTCTACTATTTTAGGTTCGATTGGCATCACTGTAGTTTTTTGGTTTTTTATTTTTCAAAATCATATGATATATGTTATATAATGAATAAAAAATTAGTCAAACTTATTAAGAACATGATAATTTTAAAAACCGACAGAAGAAAAGTGAAAAAATCTTTTTCTCGTTTTCCATTTTTGATTTTTTGTTTTCAAAAAAACTGAAAAGTGAAAAAAAAAGCCAAATAAGGGCCTGTTCTCATAGACTGAACTCAGCTGAACTGAACTGAACTGAGTTGAGCTAAGCTGAGCTGAACTGAGTTGAGTTGAGCTAAGCTGAGCTGAACTGAGTTAAGCTGAGCTAAAATGAATACTTCATATTTTATAAAAGAAGAAAATTGGGAGTTGAAGTGAACTGAAAATAAACGTATGAGAACATGCCCAAGTCCTAAAAGTAGTGATTCTGCCTAAATTGTTACTTCTAATGATACGGAGTACAATTTTACCCCTTTTAAAAACAAACTTTCATCTCAAACAAAATGGGGCGGCCTCTTTTGTTAAGTCTTGGCGCATAGCACCTATGGGTGAAGGAACATATAGGATGACAATTTTGCAATTAGCTGTAACTTTATATCATGCAAGTGGGCCATTAGTATAACGGGACAACTGAAGTGTAACGGGGAGTGAAAAGAAGAAGCGGGAAAACATTTTCACTAAGGTAAAAATGACTTGCATGTCAGTTAATTTTATTAAAAAAAAATGGAAGCTCTTCATCAATGGAGACGAAGAATGCAGCTCAGCAAGCCAAATTTTTTTTTGTCAAATTATGAATTCGTAAGTGCAGCAGTGGATTAGTAGAATGAGAAATCGGGTAGAAGATATTTTGGGTGTCGATCTGGCGGAAGCAATTCGGGAAGATGGAGAAGATGGGCATGGTTGCGCAAGGGAGCTGAGATTCGACTCTGAGATGGTAAGTTATGTATTCTAAAGCGTTGTTGTTAGTTTCTTAGCGAGAATGGGGTAATGAATGAAAGCAATTGTGAAATTTAAAAAGTAAAGCTTGGGTAAGGAGAGGTTAGGGTTTGTATTGAGTATTTTGAAATTGAGTAATCATGCTGGGGGTTATTGGTAGGGGTAGTATTTAACTGAGTAAGTATTGTGTATATTGTAATGTGGGTAATGGAGTAGGGGTTAGTTTGTTTTTCAATTGTAATCGTTTTTGTTGTTGTTGTTTGCAATTGATGGTAGGCTAATGTAGTTTCAATTGATGGAGTAGATGTATATTAATGTTGATTTTTCCTTTTTTATGTATTTTGTGATGGCATTTGTTCTAAAATTTTGGTTTTGTGGGTTGTGTGATTTCGAATATGGGCAGAATGCATGATATTTTTGTTGGTTATATTGTCTTGTTTGGTTCTATAATGATCCACTACATTGAGATGTGGATGTATATGTGTTGTAGGTTGGTTTTGAGACAGTTGGAGATGATAGTGAGGATGATGTATATGTGTATGATGAGGGGTTAGGGAGTGAGGATGGATTTACAAAATGGGATGAGGAGGAGGAGGTGGAGGAGAATGAAATGGGAGAAGGAGATGATGGAGAAAATCAGGGATCAGATTATGAGTCAGTTCATGGTGGAGAAAATCTGGGGTCAGATTATGAGTCAGTTCATGGTGAAAACGTAGTTGATGGTGAAGGGTTCACAACACCAAAGAAGGGCAGGCAAATGGTGCAAACTGTGTTCGGTGTTGAAGAGGAAATACCACCCCCAATTTTGGGCATGGTATTTAGTAGTTGGGATGAGTTAGATACTTACTTCTGGAGCTATGCTAGGCAAAAGGGGTTTGGAATAGTGAGGGCTGCTTCTGGATGGGTGAAGGTGAAGAAGGAATTGGGTACTGGAAAGTATTGTAAGCAGCGGAGGAATGCTAAGTGGACCTGTGACTGCTACGGAAGACCTTCTAGGAAGCGTAAAGTTGATCCACTGAAGGAAGGTTTGATTCAGGACGAGGAGACAGTTGTACAAAGGAAAACAAAAAAGTGTGGATGTGAGGTGGAGTTGTATGCAAGTGTTAATGCAGAAGGGAATTGGGTTGTTTGTAGGGTGAACTTGGATCACACTGGTCATCCAGTTACACCGGGAAAGTCCAAGGATTTTTCCATGTATAGGAAGCACGATTTGGTTACCAAACATAAGCACTTAGTGAAACAGGTGGTTTCTGCGAAAAAAGTCAAGGGTGAAGGTTTCCCAGATGTACGGTTGTTTTGGTAGGCAGGTGAATGGAGTGGATCAGTTGACTTTTACTCAAAAAGACTTGACGAATGCGGTGGCTGAGGAGGAGAAAAAGAGGTTGGAGCTTACCGAGGGTGATGCAAATGGGATGATTGAGTACTTCAACAAAATGAGTGCAGATAATCAAAAAAATTTCCATCTGTGTAGGTTTGGGAAGGATGGTTCCTTACAAGATGTTGTATGGGTGGATGCGAGGAGCAGAGCTGCCTATGAGGAGTTTGGCGATGTTTTCTGTTTTGATAGTACGTACTTGACTAACAAATTCCATTTGCCCTTTGCTGTATTTCTTGGTGTGAATCACCACGGACAGAGTATATTGTTTGGTTGTGCATTGATCTCTCGAGAGACAGCAGAAACGTATGAGTGGGTGATGAGGACATGGCTGCATTGTATGGGCGGTAAAGCCCCTACAGCTATTTTGACGGATCAAGATCCGACAATTAGGAAAGTTGTGCATTGTACAATGGCTAAAACGACCCATGGGTGGTGCATATGGCACATCCTGCAGAAATTTGGTAAGTATGTGAAGCGTGATGATGATTACGAAGTTTTAAAGGGTGACTTTGATAGCCTCATATATGGTAGTTTAGATGCTGATGAATTTGAAGCTCGATGGTGTGATGCAATTCAGCATTACGAGCTACAAGACAATGCTTGGCTAGAGGGTTAGTTTCTTCCACTCAATTGTTTATACTTTATCGTTTCTTAGTATAGTTACTCATGATTTTGTATGTGTTTTTAGGGTGTTGATGATCTGAATATTTGAGTAAATATATTGGTCTGTGCGTTATGTACCTCTAAGTAGTAGCATTGTTCCAATGGTTATTTTTGTTTTTCCACTAACAATTTTAATGTACCACTGCAATTAGTACGTACAGGTAGCAGAAGCTTTTGTAGCTGTCTTTGTTTGTGTCACTTAGTATTTGTCGTAAACTAGTGTATATTGGATGAAACTAATAATTGCAGTTATATTGAATAGGGCTCTATGAGGAACGAGTAATGTGGATTCCCGCGTATTTGAAACATTTATTCTGGGCTGGGATGAAAACGACTCAACGTTCAGAGAGTTTCAATCATTTTTTTAAAGGGTATGTTGACAAGCAGACAACGTTGTCTTAGTTTGTTATTCGGTATTGTGATGCTATGACAGTAAGGGTCGAGGCCGAAAGAATGGCAGACTCGAACACACAACGGTATGAGAGGCATTTAGTGACTGACTTCCCAGCGCAGGTGTTGTTTCAAAAATGCTATACGGATGCAAAATTCAAAGAAGTGCAGGGACAGTGCAAGAAGATGTTGTATGTTTGTCCCCTAGATCAGTATGAAATTTGTACTAATCTAATTGAGTTTATTATCGAAGACCGTGTTTGGATCAAGCCTAAAAATGCGAAGAAGGATGAAGTGACAAAGATTCGTAGATGCTACCGGGTTGTATATGATAGTAGTACGTATGAAGTTGCATGTGATTGTAAACACTTTGAGTGTCATGGGATCATTTGTCGACATATGATTCTTGTGTCGTATGACCTTAATAGAGTAACTGTTGTTCCTGAAAAGTATGTACTCCGTCGTTGGAGGAAGGACGTACAACGGAAACACACACGAGTAAAAGTTGCTTACCATGATCCATTGACTAGTGATGAAGTGAGGAATTATCACAATCTTATGGGGACGTACGAACCTATTTGCTCTAAGGCTTCCATTTGTAAGGAGGCAGTGCAGGCTGTCAAAGAGATGTTGCAGCTCATGGATCTGAGAGTGGATGAAGTTCTAGCAATGGTTGCGAAAAGGCAGCTTGTAGGAGGGAATGAGAATGGTCCTGGTGAGGATGAAGGTGTACATGGAGTTTCCCGAACGCCGTCTTCTGTGGCACAGAACAAGGGGCCTGAGGGGACAAACACACCAATGACAGTGGCATCAGGAATTCGTAATAACAACACTACTCCAGTTAGTGGATTCCAAGGAAGCTACGAAGGATCTGCCCCAGGTAGGATTAAGGATCCACCCTTACCCAAGAAGAAATCACATCGCACTACAAGTGTTAGATACCCGTCCTGCACAGAGAAGAAAGGAAAAGAAAGGGCTTCTAATAAGGCGAAACATGATGCTCAGAAGAAAGCTGGTCAGACCCCAACCAGCATATCATTAGGAACCAGTGAGTATATTCGATCTGTCGGGGGAATACAAATGAGGGATTTGGATGGGTCGTTAGGATACTTTACTACGGTTAGGGGAGGACACTCTGGTGGAGTGTTTGCTTCTCTCCTTGGCCTCACTCCTGGCACATCTGGATCCATTCACAATTAATCTATTCTTTTCAAACTTTTTACTACGTATAACTATATTATTTGCGTTGCTCTGTAACAACGGTACAATTTAGCAATTGGTACAATTTAACAGCACAACTAGTAGCATAACAAATGTATCCCTAGCATCTATTTTGAATATAATTGGTACACATAAAAGTACCACTGGCATCTATTTTGCTTATAATGAGCACACATAAAAGTACCACTTAGTAGTTCCAAGGGTACTACTCTATGTTTAATGATATCAATATATTAATGGCGACTAACAAAAATAACATGATTGAAGTAGGATTCCATAGTAGGACAAAAAAAGAAAGACACTTAAAATGTCGAAGGACAAGAAATGAAAGGCATTTAAAATGTGGAAAGCAGTCATGTAGTGATATAAGAATCGACAACTTCTTTCAAAAAAAAAAAACAAAAAAAAAAGAATTGACAATAAGATGTACCGTTCATAACAAGGTGGTATAATTAAGTTATATAATTTACCACAACAAATAAAGGATTGTTCCGCTGCAGGCATAGCGGTACGTAACGTGAATTAGGATTCCATAGTAGACAAAGAAAGGAAAGACATTTAAAATGTATGGAAAGCATTCATGTAGTGATATAAGATTTTAAATGTCTTATATCATATATAAAGCGGTTCTTTTACTCATGTAGTGATTATTCGTTGGTCGTATATCATACAGGTACCGCGCGTAATCGTATATGTGGTACAAATAAAACTAGTTAGTTAGTCAATGGTACATATATGTACCATTGTATTCGATTTAGTGTTTCTTTTGACAAGACAGTTCTCTGGCCTAGTGCTGCACCTATTGCGTCACGCCGTCACCTACAGTAGTAGGATTACCACGGTAACATGGTAAATAGGATCAAATATTCAAATTTAACTTTTCCCTCCCACAAAACTAGTTCCCTTCCTATATTTTTTTAAACTTAGCTCACATTCTCACCCCACTAATTCTATATTAACCAGTGGTACACGTTTAGGGTACCACTTGATTCTATATTGTACCACTTCAGTATTAATGGTGTAAAATATATGATTTTTTGTACCACTGTCTAATAAAATGGTAGAAATTGCAGGCCCTTTGAGTAGTGAGTTAGTGTGGTTAAAATTATGAAGTGCACAAAAAAAACCTTGAGTATTCCATGGTTTAGAGGTTTATGTAGTATATATTAAGGCGTTACGAGTCCTTGGTGGTTTGGTAGAAGATGGAGTTACGTCTACCTTAAATCGAAACATATACAAATCGAAATCACTATCTTATCCTTGTATTGAGTTACTTTGTAAGAAAACATACACTTCCATCAACCCTTGTGTAGGTAGTTATTCAGCTAGTACGCACCCTATGCTTGTCGCTTATCGGAATCCAATTTTAGTGCTTCGATGTTATACCCTACTCCTATAAACATGTTTAGGGGCAATAAGGTCTCTAAATAATACCCTAAACATGTTGTATTCACCCTAATCTCAATGAGCCTAACCATAACCACTTAACAAGTGGTACATTTAACGGTTAGTATCGTACCATTCTGTACGATATGGTACACCGATATTTTGTTAGGGTACCATTAAGAGGGAAACACGTTTAGGGTACCACTTGATTCTATATTGTACCACTTCAGTATTAATGGTGTAAAATATATCATTTTTTGTACCACTGTCTAATATAATGGTAGAAATTGCAGGCCCTTTGAGTAGTGAGTTAGTGTGCTTTAAATCGTGAAGTGCACAAAAAAACCTTGAGTATTCCACCATATTTCTTCTCCATATGTAGTGTTTTGGTAAAGATAACATGGTTGAGAAGTATTGAAGATTGAATGTGTTAAAATAGGAACAACAGTAACAATAAGTTCAAAATGCCAATTTTTATTCCATTTAATAAGGGACCATTACATTACTTGAAAAAAAAACCAGAAAAAACAAATAATTTTTTTTAAAAAAAAGGCTCCAAGAACAACAACAGCAAGGACGACATCCAACAACACCAACCCATACACTACCCAGAGGGGAAGGGGGGTTGAAGGTGCTTTCGTTGACCTACAAAAACTTCTCCAGGGTCAAGTTTGCTGCCCTCACCTTCAATGGCCGCTTATCGGAGCCGTAAGCAATACCGTGTGCATGTTGGAGAAGAGACACGTACGTGAAGTACCTGATCTTCTTGCCCAAGCAGAAAGGGCACCTGAAGCCCACCGCGGTCTGACGCAGCTTGCAGGTGCCATGGAAAAGAGCAATGTATGGTTTCTCCGAGCACTCCTCGAGTTCAGAGTCGCTGTACACAGATGAGTCACTTGAGCTCGACATTTTTTGATACCTTTTTTTAAAAAAAAAAGGAAGGGATGAAAGGATATTTGTTCTTCTTTTGTTTGGTTTCTCTTTGTTGATACTTTTCGAGATTGTGAATGTACACTCCCTACTTGATGTGTATTTATAGTAGGGTAAGGGTGGGTCAAACTCTAGTCTACATTAATTGGGTCAAAGTTTGTAATACTGAATGATGTTCTGTTTCCCAGTGGAATTTCTAAAGGTTCATCATAATTTTTTTTGGAAAACACTGATCACACACACCTAGGTCATTCGTAATCCACTATTCTTAATAAATGTACAACTACGTGCACAAATGTACCACTGGAAGTTCAATGGTATATGTTACTTGCCTGTGTTATACTACTAAGAATAAAAGTGGTGAACAATACATTGCATAGCTTAAGGGGATTCCCATGCGTTGAACGATACGATATCTTTTTCAGTACCTAGACCTTTTGTATGACTCATGTTATTTTATTTTTTATTTTTTTTGGGAAAATGTATCACGATTTCTGAAATGACCTGTTCACACGCATTTAACGGTTAGTGGTACATTTAACGGTTACTCTTAATAATACCCTAAACATGTTGTATTCACCCTAATCTCAATGACCCTAACCATAACCACTTAATTAGTGGTACATTTAACGATTACTATATGTGCCATATAATGGAATTGTCCACTTAATGGTACATATGAAAGGGATAAATGTCCCACTGTATGTGCCGTACCGTACTGAATGGTAAAAGTCAAAATTGAGCTCGGTAAATGTAGGGTTCCAGTAAAAATCAGGCGCCAAAGAAGAAAAACTTTCCCGCTCTTTGTGGTATTGATCATTTACCCCCCTATATATATACTTCTTCCTTCTACCAAAGGGATTCCAACTTATATTTCACCCTTAATTCCTAGCTCCGACCATTCCCTTTTCATACACCATCTCACGCTAGAAGCTTGTGAAGTGGTACTCCAGAAGCTATGTCAACAATGTCATCAGCCTCTTCGGGGAGTCGTGTAATTCGTCGACCCTGTGCATCTGCTGACAT